TTAGAACCTTTTGCAAATCTTTTTCATAAAACATAATATATATATTTTCATATAAATATATATTTTGCAAAACAAATCTCAAACACAATTAAAATCGACTACCGACAGTTTTGGTTTCCATCAGAGAGAGCGCAGTCCCTGATCATTCACTTTGTCCGACAAAGGGACTGATCCTGTCACTATGATCACCCACTCGAGTGAATTCTCAGACTGCCCCAACATACCCAGGTTTTGACCCCCGCTAAGGATCTCACTGATTGGCATATCAAAGACAACCCAATCCAACACCCAGTGCAATACCATAATCAAGTCTTGGGGTTAGGTGTAACTTTCCAGTTTTGCCCACCAGTCTCCAAGGTCCAGGGCATAACTGGAAAATGGTCCAGGTTCAATGTTTCAAGTAAACACACACTACATGTGCTTCGGGTCTCACCTTGGCAGCTGAGACAAGCTACCCCAACCAACTTGGCAGCACATTAGTGTCAGCCTTGGCAGGATAATCCTCCCCAGGTCTATCCAACGTCTGAGAACATTCTAAACTAACACAAGTCTCATAAGTGTCCAGTTTAAGGGTAATTACACAAAAACATACCAGACATAACATGAATCAATTATGTACTTTTATTCATTTACAGTAAATGTCTAATGTACATCAATCTGATTGGAGCTAAGGGCATACACTGTCTAACTTCGGTGTTCGCCTGTGCTTTGTGATTGAGGGCTATGACTTATGTACAAGGGACCACGATTAGCCTTTGGTGCATGACTGCACTTATCCCGTGGCAGTATAGTTATAGTGGTGTGTCTGTGGCTATCCTTTGGTAGTATATGATTGTGATATATAAGTCCATCCCCTTATGATGAGAATTGGGATTTGGGTCAGGTAAATGCAACATATGGATGCTCACTATAGAGGGGAACCGAGAAATTCTGTGATGCCTCTAAGAAGGGATCACTTAATAGGTTGGTAATGGGACCAAAATGGGATTTTGTCTAGACACCTGGTGTACTAATAGGCTTCTATTGATTTTTTTACAGCCTCTATTGATTGTTTAACAGTTAATTTTATTAAATGTAAAACAAGATGTACAAGCCTTAAATATAACATTCGAGAGCATAGTCACTACTATCTTTAATAATTGAGCCAAAAAAAAAAAACGATTTATCTATTCATTGTTCCCCAAAACTTGTGTTTGGCATCATGGGAAATAAGGAGACAAAGGTTGATGACTCATTAAAGTGTGGGGAGTCTCCACAATTTGGATACCCTGTTTCTACATTAACTTGCAAGATTGGGTAGTAGAAAAGATATCTAGTCTGTTGATGAAGCTCCAAAAATAACAGTTGAATTGCAGCTCTAGCGACCAAAGCATTTGGAGGTGGGGGAGAGTGGACGCTTCTTTGTTGATTATCTAGCAAGAAAGATGAACTTTATAGTGATGGTTCTTTCCCATTGATCGGTGTGTCAGGGACCTAGGACCTTCTAAAGTGGCCTTCTTACTATGGTTGGTTGCATTAGGAAAATGCTTAATGAGGGGCAACCTTATAAGAGTTGTGATGATCCTAACACAGGTTGTCCTGTGTGCTGCTGTGGGCTTGAATTCATTGATCATTTGCTCACTGCCTTGTGGCTCATAGGGTCATTCTTTCTATGTCCATCAGTTTGAGTTTGTACTTACCTTGTTCATAAAAAGGGATGGTGGAAAGATGGTAAGTGAAAGGCCTTGATTGTTGAGGGAAGATCATGTGGCAAACCATTCTTGTAGTTGTGACTTGGACAATTTGGGTGGAAAGAAACAAAACATCAAGGTCACTAACAGCAAAGGGAGGTAAGAAAAAAGTAGTACCTGGCTGAGAAGAAAGCGGAACTTGATTTAGATTTGCATCTTGAGAATTCATTGGCATAGAATGTAGTCTCAGGTTGTTCCACATCTTGAGATGCATGCTAGATCTTCTAGCAACAACGACAATATACTTGAGGAGGTTTAGAAATTGAAATAGACAAAATTGGACCTATCTCTCATCACTACATGTCTCCCAATGAGGAGAGCCAGGGAAATATGACTAAGATTCAAAGAAGGTCACATCCAAAGTGACATATGACTTAGACACAGGGTCATAACACTTGTAACCCTTTTGAGAAGAAGGATACCTAAGAAAATACATGCAATGGATTTAAGGTCAAATTTACCATGGGAAGAAGACAAGTCATGAATAAAACACTTACATCCAAAGACACAAAGGGTGATAGAGCAAAGAGAAGACTTGGGGTAGAGAAGCTGATGAGGGGCCTTGTACTGTAGAATCCTATTGTGCATATTGTTAATTAAGTATGTTGTAGTTAGGACTGCATCACACCTAATGTTCCAGTTTTTATTTGGCATATGCATCTGCAACTATGAACCTTGAGTAAAGATGGTTTGGGTTGTGAACAGAAGACCATCAATAGTACCCATAAGAAGTGATTTGATACAAGTTGAAGAGGATAGAAGGGTAAGGGGTAGACCAAAGAGGACATGGGTAAAAGTAGTATGAAATGATTTAAGCGCCAATAATTTAACAATGGATATTGAAGGGATGAGAGATCCATCATATGGATGGCCGAACCATGCAGGTAGGTTGGGCGAAATTTCAAAAATTTCCTCTCTCCCCATCTGGGAATCACATTCCCTGTTTTAGAAAATCTGCATTTTCAATGATCAATCTTGAACCTTAAACCGAACCAAATCTGAAACCAAAAGGTAGGAGAGGGATATACCTGATACGGAGTAACAGTAACTCCCAACGAAGGTGCTAACACCCAAGGAAAACTCCAAAGACTGCTCCCACTGAAGATGACACAGCGTAGGGTGGAGCAGAATCAGCAGGTGGTTCTTCACAAGAACCGAATCTTTCAGCAAGAATTCGATGGAGGGTGAGTGAGCACGACTTCAGATCAGTTTTTCACCAAAAACTGATATCAAGAACGCTTCTTGATCGCTCCTACAGGTGGAGAACGAATTGGCAATGGCGGCAGCAGGAGGAGAAGACAAGAGCAGAAGATGGCACAGTCTTATTGTTGCTTTCTTTCTCTCTTGTATCTGAGATCAGATTGAGTGAGTTGGGGTTTGCCCTCCTCCTCCTTTTATAGCCTTAAAGAGAGCTCCTCCTAATCTCATTAGGAGTTTCCTAATTCAAATCCTTATTTGAATCTGGGCTCTCTTTAGAAGATAAGAATAATCCCTTATCTTATCTACAGATCAAGATCAGCCCTCCTAATCTCATTAGGAGTTTCCTGATCCAAATCTCTATTTGGATCTAGACTCTCTGAGTGGTCCCTATCCTATCTGCTAATCTAAATCCCAGAACCGCCCCTCTTTAATTAATCAAATTAAACCAGTTCGAATTGGGCTTTAGGCCCATTAAGTCTATGTGCTCATTCGGCCTCCAAACTACTGCCCAGTTGGGTTTCCTTGTATGGCGTGGGACCCAAACATTGATCTACACATCA